CATGCTGCTGCTCGCATGTCTCCTGCCCTTGTTGCTCAGCGGAGGAGCAGCTCCACCTCACAGAAGGTCAAAGTGGATTTTGACCAGAGCACAGGTGAGCATTTTGCTAATACCGACTGTGCAGGTGAAAGGATGCTTTTTAAATGAGACATGAAGTACGACTGTAAGTGAGTTCTTCTAAATATGTAGGGGATGTAAATACAGATGTGTGTGGAAAATTCAGCTAAGTCCCACACACATGAACTCCTCCATGTTTAACTCCAGCTGGCACATGAGGCAGTTCTCCAGCTGTAGCATGTTCAGCTCAGAGCTGAGCGATCACCACGATCACCAGGGGGAGTTGGAGTCGGTCTGCTTGACTAGAAGTAGCCAAATTACATCAAGGGCAGCCACAACAGAAATACTCTGACTGTTAACAGACCTGTGACTCACCAAAGCTGCATTATAATGAAATTAAATAAAAGTATAAAAGGAGCATTTTTAAAAGCTGAGGCGCGTAGCAAGCTTAGAGCAGCGTGATGGATGATGCAAACCCAGCAAAAAAGCAACTGTGTGAATATTTAAAACAACAGTTGATGCTCGAGGCTGTTAACCAACCCAGGGAGGTGTAATACACTTCGATAAAATCTTCTTCCCCATCAGAAAAAGAATGTTAGTATATTTATTATACTATAATAAATATCATCTTATATATTACCCGCCTCCCAGTCTGACTGCGAGGAGACAGAGGGGGGGAGGGGCACAAAAACCTGGTGGATCAAATATGTGGATCTGGTGCTGCGACGACTGACTGAGCCCATAAAGTCATCAGGAGTGTTTACTGAGCTTCTCTCAGACGTTTATAGGGCTGTGTGTCATTGATATTGATGTCCGCAGCGCCGTGTAGAGAGAAATCCAATAACGTGGGTGATTAAAGTAGAAAGAGTTTATCAGCATGGTGGCCCCCAAAGCCCCTCCTCTCACCACATCCAGAGCAGAGCCAAGCCTCTGGGAGAGCGCTGAGGTGAGTTTCTCACATCACTGTCAGTCCAATTAAAGAGTTAAAGCACCTTAGTGGGTGGATACACGCGTATAAATCAATATCCTCTCACCCCATTGAGTTAATTAGTCGGATGCAGCGTGCAGCAGGCCGGCGATCGCTCAGGTTGTTTGTCTTTCCTCTCAGGGAGCGATCGCTAATTTGAGTTTAATCCAGTGTGACCTCGGCTGCCATCATCAGCAGACACAAAGCATGCAAAAGCTCCATCGCAGGTTTCCTGACGCAGCAATCACTGCAGCATTCAAGTGGATGATCATCGCCTCTGTGTCTGCAGGTGTGGCGGTGATGCACATGCAGAGTCCTCCTGTCAACAGTCTCAGTTTAGAGTTTCTCACTGATGTCTGCATCGCTCTTGAGAAGCTGGAGATGGACAAGAGCTGCAGAGGCCTCGTCGTCACCTCGGTACAGTTCAAGCAACTTTGTGCAGATGGACTAACATCTGTGTTACAGTTCATGTTTACGGTTCCACAGCTGGAGTTTGAACATGCTAAGCTATGCTTTGCCCTCTGCGTGTACTCTGAGTTAGCTGTGCTGTTGTTACAGTATAAGACAGTTTATCCAGCGGCTTTAGCTTCTGGATGTGTTTTACCCTGAAATCAGAGCCAGCCCAAGGTGTTCTCCGCCGGGCTGGACATCTTGGACATGTACGGGAAGAGTCCAGAGCACTGTGCGGAGTTCTGGAAAGCTGTGCAAGAGATGTGGCTCAAGTTCTATGGCTCCGACATGATCACTATAGCAGCAGTCAATGTACGTATAAACAACCCAGCACCTCCCTCCACACGGTCTGCACCTCGCACAAGGACAGAGTGGTGCATTCTGGGGGAAACACACTGAAATAAGCTTGTGGGCTTCTCGTTCCCCTTCACCCAGGGCTCCAGTCCTGCAGGAGGCTGCCTGCTGTCGATGACATGTGACTACAGAATAATGGCGGATAACCCTCGTTACAGCATCGGTCTCAATGAGACCAAGCTCGGCATTGTAGCACCTTTTTGGTAAGAAATCACACCAACACTAATTACAATAATAATTCATAGCACCAGCAGCAAGATAGAAACACAGTTTACATGCATTAGTCTCATTTAAGCTCAGTGAATGCGAGAGATCTGCAGTTAGCTTCTTCTCCTGCGCTGTAACGCTGCTGCTGTGGAGATAAAAACAAAGAACTCATTTCAGTCTCACTGCGCTTCATCTTTTTGAATCAGGATCTGTATAATTTTGCGCCAAAAGCCCCTAAACCCAAAACAACTTCTCAGTTTAAAAACTTTTATTAACATTTCACTGTGAAACTGCTCCTGCAGGTTTAAGGACACTATGGTAAACACAGTCGGACATCGGACCACAGAGATGGCCCTACAGCTGGGGCTGCTCTACAGCCCTGCAGAGGCCTTGAAGATAGGATTGGTGGACCAGTTGGTGCGTGAAGACCAGGTCCTCACTACAGCCACCGAGACCATGACCAAGTGGTTGGCTATCCCAGGTATACTAAACATCATACTGCACCTTAAGCTGTCCACTCGAGTTATACTTGTCATGTTTTCCACCTGTGGTGCTGCACAATATGTTCATGTGTATGTCAGGTTATTGCTGCCAAAAGATTCGCCTGAGTCAAGATTTCTAATCTTGTTTCTATTCAAAATAAAAAGTCTGACAGCTCAAGTCAAGGTAAAAATGTCTGTCTCTCCTCTTCACTGCTCATGTGTCATAATCAACACAGGAAAAGTTTAAAAGGTCGTCCTATTATCTCAATGCTGCTGTGGTTTTCAGTCAAACAGATGTTAGATGGAAATGTGTGATCACCTCTGTAAAATCAGAAGTTTTGGAGTATTCAGGTGGTTACACAAGGTCGAACTACACTACTCTACAAAAAACAAAGCGAGCTACACGTCTGAGACTACAGGCTCAGTTAGCATGTTAAAACTTGTCAACGTTTCAAGACCAGACAAGCACGACTCATTTGACACCAAAGCGGAAACGTTTGAACATAATGTTGCACGGTGCAGTCAGCAAGTCGATCATAAGCACGTCATGCATCTATCCAATATCAAAAGCTTGGCCCAAATTGTGCCATGATGCCTTCACAGCAGCCAAACTACAACAGACGTGCTGGGAATGAAAAGAATCGAGGTTTTGCAGCGGCTCCGTCAAAGTCCAGACATCAGCTTGATTGAAATGCTACGACTGGAGTCTCACTAAAGACAAACGGGCCAAAACTCCTCCGATGATGTGAGACTGAAAGTCGTGCAGTCAATA